AAAGAACCCAGGATCTGGTCTGGTTTTGTAGTGTAAAGACTTTGGCCAAATAATATAACTTGAGTTTTTCTTTGATTTAGGTGAAGAAAGTTTTTTCCCATCCAAGATTTAACTTCAGCCAAACAATCTGTCAATAACAGAAGAGATTCATTATTTCCATTTTTTAGTTTAAGGGGCATATAAATCTGGACGTCATCTGCAAAGCAATGAAAGGAAACGTTAAATTTATGGAAAATCTGACCTAGAGGTAAAAAAATATAAAATGAACAAAATGGGACCTAAAATTGAGCCTTGGGGGACGCCATACTTTAAAGGTTTGGCCCCAGAATAGCATTGGTCAAGATTAACTGTGAAAGTTCTGTTTTCTAAATAAGATTTGAACCATTCAAATACTGGGCATACATGAAAGAATCGTTGGTCAAGTAAAATGAAGTAAAAACAAAAAAAAAAACGGTGTCAAACCTCTCTCTCTACTTGATGGCAAGATAACCACACCTATTCCTTCTGATACTACACTGCCCTCTTGTGTGGAAGTAACCAACTACCATATAAAATCAAACTGAATAAAAAATACAATTACTGTTCTGCACATAATAGCATAGTGACAAAATCTTTCTAAAAATAATAAATACTCAGAAATGTTCAGACAACAAACAGAACTGGATCTTAACAATGGCAGTATTTATGGTATGTAACTATATTTTAATTGGAAAATATTTTATTCAGACCTGTAAGTTCTGAATAAATTTTTCTCAACCGAAATCACTTTATTTCATACATTAATAAAACTGTTTAATTTAGAAGCATTTTTACCTTCATTGCCCTGGGACAGACTGGCAACCTGTCCAGGGTTTACTCCGCTTCTTGCCCGAAACATTTGCTGGAAATAGATACCAGCATCCCTCACAAACCCCGCAAGGGATAGGGCTGTACAGAAAATGGATGGATGGATGTTACCTTCATGTTTTATATTTGAAATGTTGGATTTAAATGAAAGTCCTTCATTATTGCCTGCATTAACGTCTTAAATATTTGAGCTTCTCTCTGTCTCATTTTTGTTTTTCATCTTTTTAAAATTGTGTGCTTATAATTTTAATGTGATTGAAGTTTTTGCTAAGCACAGTTGCTTTGTGTTTATGATAATGTAACAAATACAGCTATCAAGAACAAATAATAAAACTGCCAGTGTTGTTTGCCAGGCATTTCTTTTTATTAGACTTTTGCAAGCTTCTTTGTAAAGGTAAAAACCATAGGTCTACAGGATGAGATGGCCTGAAAATCTATTTGACTGAAGTCTGTAAGTGAGGGGAACCAACCCAAACCAACCTCAGCAGCAGTCAGACAAACACAATATTAAAGACAATATTTGTCCATAATTTTAAGGTCTATAAAATATTACATTATTTCAATTAGATTTTCAGTTTAGTACATCATATGTCTGCAAGGCAACTGTCAAATATTTTTAGAATTTTTGGTATGACTTCAAGAAACCGCTTAAAGATTTAACTAAAATGCTAAATGCTTTTTCTTTCAAGGATATTCTCATCTAATGTGTTGAAACAGCTGATCAGTCATTCCTGTGTATCTTCCTACTTTAAGAAGCAGACTTACTTGAAAAGTAATTTTCTTCTTGTAAATATTCTCCCTTTTAATCTTTATTTTCAGTTTTTCTGTCATTGTAATCATCATAATAAGTCTTTATCAGAAAGTAACAATTTTTTTAGATATGAAAGAATTGTGAAGTGTTCAATCAGTTTTACATTTGAATCTTTCTTGACTTTAAATAAAAGTAGGTGATCAATGGATAAAATGTTACCTTAACTTTCACATTAAAAATTAAGAAATATTTATTTCATTCAAAGAATAAGTATACTATCAAAATGAATTCTTGTTTTTCCACTGGTGATAAAAGCTTTAATTGACATTAGTCAAATGCTACAGTGACAAGATTGCATGATTCTGTGAATCTTTTCATGATTTTATGGGCTGTAGATGATTCAATTACAAAATATTTGCAATTGTACTTTGAAAAACTATTCTTAAACTGTACTAATTGCTCACACAGTGTTTCACAAAGCAGTGAACCGCGCCCATCCTTGCTTGGGGACACTGTCTTTATACCCAGTTTTCGCTCTCACCTGTTTTCACTTGGATAAAACAGAAACCAACCTGGACTATCCTGGGGACTAGCAAATTAATCTAACACAAGTTAGAGAAAAACAAGTTGCTAAAAGAAACGGTCTTTTGTTGCCCCTTTCTCTGCATTTTTTTTAATTGTGTTGCAGGAATCAAAATCTAACATGAACATATGAAAAAAAATATTTTTCATCTGAAAATTACATGCATTATCTTTAATTCATTTGAAAACAGGTTGAAAAGGATTTGCAAATCATCATATTTTGTTTTTACTTGTATTTTACACAAGATCCCAACCTGGTTGGAATTGGGGTTTTATTTCTACAACACTGCAGGTCTATACACAGGCTGACGTGCCTGGTGCATGCTGGTATCCATGCTTCAGGGTGTTGTGTCACAGATTTTACTGGGATGATGACATTACCATAACCTGTTCTTTTTGTGTGTTTTGACAAAACATATAGGCTCAGGAAACATCTACAGGTCAGATGGTGATTGGACAAATGCCCGATTTATAATCCAGGTTAAAAAAAGAGTAGATGTAGCTAATCATCAGTTGCAGTCATTTAAATTTTCAAGTCATGTTTAAAGCAAGTCTTTATTTTTTTGTTTTCCATACTGAGTCTGACTAACAGGAAGCTGTAGGTAGCATTCAAATTATATCCAGAGTAAATGGCTATTTCACAAAAATGTTGAGTAAATTACTGCACAACAAAAACAAAACCTTTATTTTGAGTCACTTTTTACAAAGGAACAAAGAAATTTAAAAAAAAGTGCTGTCGGCTCAAAAAGAGACATGCACTGGGAGCTCATATATGCTTCAAAATGTGAAGAATAATTATCAACTCAAAGATTAATTAATCTTGCATTCATTGGATCTCCATTGCACATTGAGAATTTAAAGAAGTTTCTTTGTAATTTTAAGGCCAAGAAGCTCAGACAAAAAGATGGTTCCTAAATGGTTAGTCCTACTTTTCATTGGTCTAAATATTTTATCTGATAGCAACAGTTGGAAGAAGCAATGTCCATGATGAGTCCTGTGTGCCCAATGCTTTTTATTGGAAGGTGTACATTTGTTCTAGGATGAAGGTGCAGCCAATTAATTTGTTCACCATCCTGATTACCCAATGAAGCCCTTTCCTCTCTGAAAAAGAGGAAAGCATGTGGTATGCCGCGGTGTGCCACATAGTGAATGATCACAGTGGAACAGTGACAGAAAACAAGTAGCAGGTTTTGTGGAAGAAGACGCTTCCTGAGGATCCTGAAAAAATCCATTCTCTGTTGCATTGCCTTCTTCAGTAGCTCCTTGGTGTTGGAACTTCATTTCAGGTCATTCTCTAGCTTGAAACCTGAACACTGGTTCCCTCTCCACATGGGCCCAGCCAATGACTAGAGGTAGGATATCAATTTTTTTTCTTTTAGAGTCAATAATGAGCTAATTTATTCTTGTGGTTTAAAGGAGCATGGTATTGATGGGACACCATTCTGAGATCTGCTCAACCTTGTCTAACTATCTCACCCTCCTTGCTTGAAATCCAGCTATCATTGTCTCCATCCAACTTTGTCTCCATCCAAAGTTGGATGTCTCCATCCAACTTTGCCGGATGGAGAAATGGTCATCTGTGTAGAGAAGCAGGTTAATCACAAGACCCTGTCTTCCTGGTATTGAGTCCTTGTGTTGGGGGCCAGCCTGACTCTGTGTGAGTGATTTAACAGGATGTAATGTATTGCTCCTGGTGATGAGGTCCCAGATCTGCTCATTCACACACCAGTCCACAAAGATAAGTCTGGGTAGCTCCCAACCTCCTGATCTAGTCTTTGATCACTCTGCTTTCCTTGGATTGATGCTTACTGTCATTTGCCTCACTTTGCAGTCTTTCACCAAAAGGTGTGGCACTGTTGTGATCAGCACCTCACCTTATCTGATGGCATTGTTAGCTGGTGGCATTGTTTGTGCAGAACCTGATAGAATCAGAATCACATAATTCATAATCTGAGATACTTAAACTGTTCACAAATGGACTAAATTATTTATCAAAACTACTTTTTCATGTAAAGCATTTATGGTATACCTGAATGTCAATTTTATCTCTTAAACATTTATTTTCACAAACAAAATAAAACTTTCACATACATTTATTTTAAAGAATCTTTGTAGTTTAGAATAATTCCACCTTGTTTAAATATATTTTAGATTTTGAGATAGTCAAGGTTAGTAAGAGCTTAGTAAGAGCGGTCACCTGCCATTACTGACAGGATTTGAGAAGACAAAAAACCCAAAACAAAAAAAAAAAAAACAAAACAAAAACAGAAGAGCTGTTGTAGAAGTATGTTAATGAAAAGTACATGGTTAATAGCGGAGAATAAAAAACAAGCCTATGGCATATCTACAGAGATAGCTCAGGATAAAAGAATAAACCTTTAGAATGAGGCAAGAACCGGGGAGAACTTGAGTTTAGTCAAGCAACAGTCCTGAAGCTAATTTCAGCAATGAGAGAGAAAAGGGAACATGGACATTCAGTCTCATAAATGTTTAAATTGTCACATACTTTGGGTGTCAATATGACACTCTCAACATGGCGTTGACACAGACGTACGGTAAGGACACTCATGTTGCATTTAATGTTTTATGGTGGGTTTCTCTGGCCACAGTCAGTTGCTCTGAGAGGCAAGACAAAATCTCCAACGAAAAATGTTTGCAGCATAAGGAACCTGATCAACAATTAGTTCAAATATAATATTATTCCTGCGTTAGTTTATGACGGTACAATTCTGCCGTGAATTACTTATCAACCAAATATGAACATGACAAAATAAGCAAGATTTCCCACAGCCCTTGAACGCAATGTAAAAAATGTGTTTCCGAGAATCTAGAGTCTGTGTCTTTGTGTTTCCGCTGTGACCGAACAGGCCACTGTCTCCTGCACTGTGTTGTGCATGTTTTACGGGTCATCCGAACTTTCTCAGCTCTTCTCATGGTTCGCGCTTCACCTCAGATAGCTGCCCTCGTCAGCAGACGGCAGCCTCGGAGCTAACACCCACCGCTCAGAGGAAGTACACAAGTCCATGTTCCCTCCTGCACCTCCGCGAATAGAGCCAGCTCAACATGGTGAGAGTTATGGAGTACCTTCGCTATCTCCAAGACCCTCACCTTGTCGCCCGCTTTCAGCTTATTTGCGGGATACGGGGTACTTTTTCAGAACCTGTTCCTGCCGATAGTTCGACCTCTGACAGCTACAGGTCAGTAGAAAAGGTTCGTTCTCGCAACAACGGGGCTCTCCATCATCACACAGCCGGGGAAACGGGAGATGAACACTTGACCAGTATGGGAGTTCAGAGGAGGACCGCAGATGTAAGTGAGCCTAGAAAACTCAAGCATGACATGGAAGACGCTCCCCTGAACGGGGCTTCTCTGTCCACAGTCGGAGAAAGTGTCGCTGTGCGGGGCAGCACTCTTAAACCCCTCCGCAGAAACTCTCTGACGGGCGAAGCGGGGCAGGAGTTTGTCATCGAGAACCGCTTCTTGTTTTACTTGTTCACCTTCGGGACAGAGTTGGGAAACGAATTGTTTTACATCATCTTTTTTCCCTTCATCATGTGGAATGTGGACGCTTTCGTGAGCAGACGGTTGATCATGGTGTGGGTCTGGGTCATGTACGTGGGACAGTGCACAAAGGATGTAATCGGCTGGCCCCGACCCGCTTCTCCACCTGTGGTGAAAGTGGAAATGTTTTACAACTCTGAGTACAGCATGCCGTCCACCCACGCCATGTCAGGGACAGCCATCCCCTTCTCCCTGTTCTTCATGACCCATGGCCGCTGGGAGGTAATCACTAACACACACCAGGCTACTGCACTGTTGAAAATATGGAGAAGTGGTTAGGATTCATTTCCTCCTGGCCACAAGTATTATTTACAAATGAAGTTGCATTAGATTAGAGCATCAGCAGGGCCGGCTCAGTGTCGTTTGAGGCCGTAAGTGCAGTTTGAATTGGGGCCTCACCAATCAGCTTTATAAGCATTGAACCACAGAGTAAATAACAATTATGATCTATGCACAGGGTCACAGCTGAACAGAAATGATTCAAATATATTTAAACTATGATTCTGTTATACTATTTTCTTTTTCAGAGAGGACAAAAGTATCCCTTCCAATTTACATGCATTTTCTGTACTTTGGCATACAGGCCAATGCGCATTTAAATTTACATGTGGCGGTTTACTCATCATTTTAGTTCTAATTATTATTTTTGAGCATTTGTGTTACTGTTTAAACAGTAAAGTCTTAAAATCATAAAAAACATTTTTTTATGCTCTTTGGATTAAATAACACTGAATAGAGTCAGATTTCTGTTTATTTAAGCAAGTTTTAGTGCTTTGTAGTTTGTTACTGTCCACAGAAAAAGTTTGCATGATTGTCGATGGTAAAGAATTTGGGCATATTTAGTCAGTCGGTTTGACCAGAAAAGCCCTTTACGGTCCATCTACCATTGCCCAAACAAAAGGTAGCAGAACAGTTCACATCAGAGAGCAGGACGTCAAAGTCAGTTTCATTTTGGAAAATCTCAAGAATGATAGTCTGTAGATATTAATGCACAAACCAAGAGTTTTTTTTTTTTTTTTTTTTGTAGACTTTTGTTCTTTACGTTTTGGGTTGAGGCATTGCATGTTTAAATACTTGTTCCCTCTGAGTTTGAATGCTCTCCAGCTGAAAGGACATTTGCTCTTACTTTTTTATTTTCAAACAGTTATGATGCATAACTGTGGCATCAAGGTGTTTTCACAATGAGCACATAATTGGCACCTAATAATAGTTGGAACTATGACCCCAATCATAGAGGAGTTGAAAAGGATCCTTCATGGAGGCAGCGAGAAGGAGGAAGTTCAAACCATGTCTTCCATCAAGCATGATGAGAAAGGATCATATTCTCAACTCTACCATCTCTCTGTTTACATTCTGACCATGTGGTCTGACAGAGTCTGAAAGAGGAGCAGCAAAAGCAAAGGAAGTGGATTATCAGAGCTGGAAATAACTGAAATAAATGATAACATGTTACTGTAGAATATCATCTCTGCTGCCCAGAAACTGAGCTGTGTCATGACTGAACTACAACTAAATGAAATGGAAAATAACTTCAAAACTAACTAAACAAGGAAATGTAGAAAAAAGTTAAATTTACAGAACCATAATTGCATCACAACATTGTTGTAGAGCAGAGTAGACCCACACTTTAGTGAGGAGGACAGGTCACTGTCTCAGACCACCACTTATATCATATTTACAAAAATATGAGGGGTGTACTCTGCTACTGCAAGCTGCTAAGTTGTTTCAACCAGTCTGTTTTCTGTTGTCTGTTTCACATCTGTATTCTTGACCATGTTTTTCTTGTAAAAGTCATTTTAAGTCTCAATGGGATTACTTGGGGAAAGGAAAAGGTGAAAAAAAACTTATTTCTTAAAATATTTTCCCATTAATGTTTTGAATATTTTCCATAGGGAATGTTTTCTCTCAGGAAGTGATGAGTATTTAATCAGGATGCAACTGAGAGGGTGAACTATTCATGAGGACATTTGAGTCCAGGATACATTAGAAGTTAATCAGACAGTGTAGCGTTTTACAATGCTCATTTAACTGACAGTTGGCAATTGAAAGCACAAACAGTTGTTTGGTGATTTATTAGAAATATAAACTTGTGACATTCAGCTTGACTTAAGGCACAACTTACAAAAGGTTCTGTTTCAGGTATCAGATGACCAAGTTTGATAATCACTCTTAATTTGTTGACAAATAAATACTTATGGAAATTGTTCATGTTGTCAACAATTTCCTTATTCACAACTCCATAATAATGATAGTAAGGATAAATGATTATACTGGAAAATAAACAGCTAGCAGTGACAGAATTCTCTCAAAAATATTAGTTTAGATTAAATAACTCAGTTTATGTCAGCAAAAGATTTCCCAAAATTTAATTAATTAAAATCAGAATGAAGTCCTTATGCTCAAAAAATACCTCCCATAAATATTTCCCAGCTGCTGGCTTTAAGTTTCGATCCAAAATGAAAAATCCAAATGGCAAAGTGCTCCCGAGAAGATAAGAAAAAAATAGTGGTGCCACAAAAAACAGCCAAAATGAAATAGTTCAGAATTTCATAGAGCTTAGTTTTCTCCCCTGTGTGGCATCCTCGGTCACCGGGTGGCGTTTACGTGGAAGCCAGACTCCCTAACGGTTTCAATCTGTGGTGCTGGGATGAATGCTGTAAGATCCCTTTTATGTTTTTTTTTTTTTTGTGCTTTTTTTTCCATTTAAGGTTTGATTAACTTCCTCAAGGGGACTCTTCCCGCTGCGTGGACCTGATCGTGTGCGTCACACATGTTGAGCTGCTGCTCTGCAACAGACACACCCCTTTTTAACTGTTGACATCAGTCACACCTGAAACTATCCATGATGCTGCCTAAAATCAGTTTTAAACAGCATTCTACTTTCAGCCATTCACACACTGATGGTGGAAAGATCCTGGATTGTAGCCACAGCTGACCTGGGGCAGTCTGATAGAAGTGAGGCTTCCATGCATAGGAGCAGAGATCAAGCTAACAACCACTACCACTGTAGTCCTAGTGAGCTAAGTGACAACTGCTAGCAACAGCAAAGTTGCTTCCCTTGGCCCACTGGGAGCTCATATATGCTTCAAAAACAATCTGATGGCAAGCTGGGAAAAAAACATTGCCTTCAAGTTGTGCTTTAAGGATTTACCCTGTCAGCAAAGACATTGTAGCTTAAAATAGCACCTCTAGACATGTAGCAGCATAGATGTCCCAAATGCTAATGTTAGCGTTCACAGTCCACATTTCTTAATTATTTTATCAGACGTTTGCAATTGGGATCAATTAATTGCAGACCCTGCATTTAATTAAAACATTTTAATTGAGTCTCACCATCAATAAAACAGAATTGAGAATAATGTACTGTACAGTAAGGGTAACATTACAACAAAAAATGCTGTAGCGTTATTAAAATAGCATACTCTGATCAAAAGCAGTGACTTGATTGAAGGAATTTTAATTGAAGCTCAATTAAAATCTCCAAACCATATTCACTGATAAACATCAAGCTTTTTGAGTGTCCATGAAACACATTGTCTGATGAAGGCAGTGAAAGTACAGCGAAGCCATTTCAACAACCAAAGACCATAAACTGTTAAACGTAGCTGTACTTTGAACTTTATAATTGCACAAGGAGTCATTGTTCAAATTGTTTTTCCCCTAACTCCATGCAGAAAGATACTAAAAGAGCAGTCTGACCTCCAACAGCCTAACAGCCAATGCTATGCTGTTAGGCAAAAATTTAGGGTTTGATAGTTTTCATGTAAGGTTTACTGGCATACTGACTGTAACAGTCTGTTTACTCTATTACATGTTTCTTTTGTTTTATTGCTTCGGCACAGCAAACATTCATGTCTCATAATTTAGACACTGGAATCTTTACACAATCCATTAGTAAAACATTTAAGCCAAGCATTGATATGAGTTCTTTCTAACACCCAGTCAGTCAGTATGAAATTCTTGCATCACAGAATCACATGAAAAAAGTATAACCCTATTGAGTTGTTTAAAAGAAATGCATCAAATACATATTATAGTTTTTTTCATTAATCTCAGAAAAATACGATGAGTTCCTTTTAGATAAACAAAAGCCTTTGTCTTCCTCAAACAAATAATATTAAGACAAATATAAATATAAAGTGACTAAAAAATTTTATACAAGAAAATATCTTATGATTTTATACCAGCTTTATTTTAACAGTGACACATAGAATATCAAAACAAAAACTGGGAAAATTGTATAAAATGAGGGAAAATGCATTTTATTGAAAGAAATAAGTATTTGACCCCCTCCCCTCCATACCCCCAGTGAAACATAATTTAATATTTGGTGACAAAACCCTTGACAGTAGTCAATTTTTTTATAAGATGTGCACACACTTCAGGAGTAATTTTGGCCCACTCCTCTCTGCAGATCATCTCATAATCATTGAGGTTTTTAGGCCTGCTTTTGGAAATGCAAAGCTTCAGCTCTCTCCATAGATTTTCAATTGGATTTTGGTCCCTATGCTCCAGATGTTGGAGTGTCATAGAGTCTGTTGACAGGTGGCCTTTTACATAGGTGACAATTTGGGACAGGTGTCTCTAATGCAGGTAATGACTTCACGGAGATTAGGGTGTGTCAGTGGTCTGTGGGAGCCAACATTGGTTGGTTGGTAGGGGATCAAATACTTATTTCCCTCAATGAAAGGCAAATTATTTTGTTTTTAAATATTACTTAATTTTCTAGATTTTCTTTTTGATATTCTCTCTCACACTGTTAAAATGAAGCCACCTTAAAAATCATAGGCTTTTAAATTATTTGTCAGAGTAACCTTTCAGAATCAGTGGGGGGATCAAATACTTCCTCCACTCCAAGTTACAACACTCTAACCCTGAATAATTTTATTGTCTTTGGTGCCATTACTTCAGTGACACACTTCCTGTCTCCATTATGACATCAAACTGAAGAGATATTTGTCAGATCTTTAATGTATTGTGGTGTTAAGCCGTTCAGTGATTTATAAACTAGCAACAGTATCTTGCAGTGTATTCTCTCAGTGGATGTCTTCCTGGTTTTAGTCAGAACACCAGCAGCAGCATTCTGGATCAACTGCAGCTGTCTGCATTTTTTTAGGCAGACCTGTGAATAAACTGTTGCTACTAAAGGTGGATGAGTTTCTCTAGATCTTGCTGTCACCACAGCAATCCAATGGTGGTGCTGTGGTGACATTTTAGGGGATGTGGAGACTTCTTGTAGCATACTGCTTTGTGCTTTCTGGGTGAACATGTTTGGACGGCCAGACCTTGGTGTGTTGGCATTTGTTTGGCATCTCCTCCACTTGTGGACTACTTTTTGTTATAGCCAAATGCCTGATTTCAAATCTTTACCAGACTCTTTTCCAGTTCTTTCTAAAGGATTAAGAAAGCTCTTTGTTTATTTTCATTTCAGCAGTCAGGTGCAGAAAACTAAAACTGAGGTTTTAGACTAAGGAATGATGTTCTATTCCTGCTGTCTAGTTTTAGCCATTTTCATTGTTGCCACAGGGAAACAATTAAACTTAAATTTTACACCTATCATGGTAGGAAAATAAAGACATTTTCTTCACTGAATAAATGTTGTCTATTAAAGGTTGGACACATTTTTCAGTGTAAGAATACAATGGGAATTTATTCAAAATTGCCAGGATATGTGTATACTGGCAATTTTTCTGAAGTTTGTCATTTTTCAGAGAATATGAATGATAAAACAAAAATAGGTCTTTCCTTCATGTTAGTATTTTGTTGAAGCCATTCATTATCCAACAATATAACTTTTTAAAAGAATGACTAAATAAAACACTACTGTAATAACCCTCCTTTGCCGCTTCTCCCACCATACAGGCAGTGAAATCAAACAATGTTTGGAACATTAAGGCTGGCCTTGAGAATCCTTCATCTTCCATTTTTATTCTTAAGTAAATCCCAACCAGTTTTAGTGAATATGTCTATTTCCTTTTCTTTTTAATTAGAGGTTGAAAACTTCTCATTGATGTTTTGAATTACTTGAGCATCTTTTCATGTTCTTTTCTGGTTCTATGAAGTCCAGTTACCCTTGCGCAATTATTTTTGTCTTTGTTGTGGTTTTGAATGCAATAACATCAGTGCATTCCTGCAAAGAACTTTGAGACATACTAATTACAAGAAATAGATCATGGATGAGGATGGGTTTAAGGATATTCAAACCCATATGCATCTACTTGTGTGCGTCTCATGGCCAAAACATCTGGTTATATAAACTTTTTATCAGGGTGATTTGGGTAACAGGAAACGCCATTATTGGATAAGGATGTTCCCATTTGAAGTGTGCCTCCTCTCATCTCTGCAGTACCCTTACACCCTCGGTTTCAGCTTGGCTCTCTGTTGGTGTCTATTGGTCTGCTCCAGCCGGATCTACATGGGGATGCACTCAGTACTGGTATGTCTCACACACAGTCTCAAACATGGTGCCAACTTTGACACTTCCAGCCCTAAGTAAAGTTGAAGAATTATTAACAGTGTTTATAATAAATGCTAACCATTAATCATTAGCCGATGCCTCATGCCATAACTGAACATGCTTATGGAGATGCAAAATGCCAATATTATTAAGCATTTTCTTGTGATAATGGTGCAAAGAAAGATTTTACATAAAATCAAACAGACAAACCGACAAACTCAACTGAAGAAAAACTGACAAACATAACTGACAACATAAATTACTAATAAATAATATCACATAATTACCTGTAATAAATGGTCAACACAAATTAGCACATTGAGCTGTTCTACTGGTCCACCAGTTCTCCACATACTGTAATAAAACTCCACGTCAGTCTTTGAGCACACCCACTATGACTGTTCAGAAAAGAACTGGGTTTGGTGACTTACCACAGTAGAGTGCTGAACAGACCGTGGAATTTACGGTTTATCTTCCTATTTATAGGCAACCAGTAGGGGGCGCCAAAAACCATTCATCACATGGTAATTAAAAAACATATTTTAGCAAGAATTTCATCTATATCTATTACCCGTTACACATACTCCTATCACTAACATTGAAGACACTTTTCCATCAGCACTTTGCGCCAGTTAATGTGTTCCTCATTATTGTGGGTGGGACATGAGCAGCAGCTGTGGTCAACACTCTGCTGATGTTAACACTCAGCAATGAGAGCTAGGTTCTTGTTCTGAAGGACTCAAATAGATATTTCATTTTGTCTAATTGAAATTTAGTGATGGCCAAACATCATAACTGAACATGTAAATATAATGACATTCTTTCTTTCTTTTTTAAAATGTGCAACCTTTTGGATTCAGATAAGGCAGTCAAGATGTAAACCAATAGCCACGCATGAAATTATTAGTATTTTTTAAATCCACGTTAAAATTAAAATTCACATCACAAGTTAATATTATGTATTTTTGGTGTTTTATACTATCGGCGCAAAACTGCTGCGCCATCAGAAAGCTGACCACAGCTGTAGCGTTTCTCTCGTCTTTATCGCTGTCCGTTTTTCAGAGATGAGCTGCTAGCAACACTGCTAATTCACTGTCATTCTGCTGCTAAACTTACTGCATGTCTTTCAGGTGGTGCTCCTGATTAAACTCATAATTAAACTCCTCATACTGAGCAGCTATTTGACGGCATATCCGTGATCCTCAACTAAACTAAATGATGTTTGGATTTTTCAGTGATATAAATCACAAGCTAATCAACAGCTGTCATTCAAATGGCTTTGGTGTCATACCCTGCTGGTGCTGCTAGTATTGTTCCCATAGTAGGTATTGAAATCTTAGAACAGCTGGGCAGAACTGCACCGGATCTGCTAATGGAAAATGAATCTGGCCGGGGTGAACCGGGACCGAACCGGTTAGAGGCGGTGTAGTAGAAAAGCGCCATTGACTCAGATTGTAATCACTTCTGATTCTTTTGGTCTCTAAGAACTCTGACACATAAAAGAGAAAACATGTGCTACAGGTTCTTCAACAGCTGTAGTAGCTTTTTAATAAAACAGAAAATGATTTACTAGATTACCAAAGCACATGTTTCTAAGTTTGATTTGACTCTCATGAAAGCCATAAAAGATGCATTACAATAGTTGTTTATGCATTTATAAGCTGAAAACATTGGAAGGTTACTTCATGATTTGGAGGATTTTAGTAGAACTTCTAATCAAGGGGAAAATTTCAGATTCCTAATATTTTTTCTCTGCTTTATGGAGAAAGCAGCATGCCGTGGATTCACAGATTCTGTTTCTGTGCTTCTTCCCTGCAGGACGTCATTGCTGGCATCCTGTACAGCATGCTCATCCTCTTCTTCTTTCTCCCTGCATTGGACACGATTGACAGCTTCAACCTGAGCTGCCGCTATGCTCCGCTGGTCATCGTTTCCATTCCCCTGGCCCTGGCCCTCTTCTCATTCACCCTGGACACCTGGAGCACTTCTCGAGGTGACACGGCTCAGATCCTGGGTGTGGGTGCTGGCGTGGCACTTGCGTCTCATGTAAACCAGCTCCTTGGTTTGATGCCGGATCTGACGGCGGACCAGCTACCTCTCATGGTGCCTACTGTAAGTGGCGGCCTGATGTGTGGCGCTATGCTGCGGTTGGTTCTGGGTGTGATAGTCCTCATTACAATACGGGCTTTGATGAAGGCCGTCACCATCCCACTGGTGTGCTGGCTATTCAGGGTGCCCAGCTCAGACGTGAGGAAGGCCCGGCAGCACATGGAGGTAGAACTCCCGTACCGCTACATTGTTTATGGGACCATGGGCTTCAGTGTGCTCTTCTTGGTTCCACTGCTCTTCACCTATGTGGAGAACTCATAAAAGGATGTTGCTTCAGTGCACGTTTAGTCTCCAGCCAGGAATTGGAGAACCAGCGTTTCAATACTGTTTTTGCATGTAAACTAGTGTTTTTTCCATGTAAACAAGAGTTTTTGCTCTTCAACAGGAGGTTTTGGGCCAGAACTGACTCAGATGCATTAAAGCCTGAACACTGAACTCCTTCCTCACTTTCTTAACCTTTCTGCTCTTTTTTTAAACAGACTCAGGTTAGCTCTGGAGCAGGATGAGGGCAAGGGAGTATTTCCTTTAAGTGGCACTGTCTTTTATAAGATTAACCTGTGGAAAGACAAACCTATTTATGTTGGTGTGACTTACATTAAATATCCATTCCATTGCCTTTTTAAAGACAGTTCAAGAATTTTAATGAGGTTTTGCTAAAAGGTTATAAGCAGGTAATATCTAACCTGCAGTCGATTGCCTGTAGCAAGTGCTTTCATAGTCATATTGACCATTCAAAGTGCTTCAACATTACAGTCACTGTCTCCTTGCAGCATTCCCTCATTAACACACCCAACACTGGATCAGTAGGTAACTTGGGGTGAAGTGCTTTCTCCTGGGGTCCCGTTGGGGGAACTGTCCTCAAATACAAGCATACAGTCCTAACATTAGGCACTATGATTAGATCAAATGCAGACCATGCAGCTTAGCCATGTTTATTTTAACACCTTGTATAATCAAGTATGAATGCATTCAGCATTCTCACTTAAGATTGTGTTTCTCTTTATTATTATTTTTCAATGTTCCATAAATTTTTCAGCTCTCAACTAATTCTGCACTTACCTAATTCTGCCATATGAATTTCAGCAATTCATAGATCAAAACGTTCTGCTTCTTCTGGAGCATTGTGCGATGACCTTTGGTTATTTCAACAATAATATTTTTTTAATTACAATTACAATTTTTTTGCAGATTTCAACCCCTTTGAAATGCATTGGAATTCTGAAGAATTCCACAAAATTCTGTAAAAACCTTTGCTCTTTTATGGGTCACAACTTCTGCCTATTTCAATTTAAAAGCTCCAGTCAACTTTTAAGCAAGACACAATATGTTGAAATATCTTCAGATGATCCAGCTTTCTGATACCGCTTGTGCTTTTTCTAAAGTTCCAATTTAAGTTTCATGCAGATTTTTGGCCATTGACAAAACTTGGCCAAATGGGGGAATTTTCCTGCCATAATTCAAGAGCAGACATTTTTATTCTGAAAGCAAGATTTCATGACTTTTGTTCTCAAAACGTGTGACACTTTTCTTACATTTTCATTTGGAAAGCAGGACTTCATGTCTTTCTTAAAACTTTCAATGACTGTTCTCACAATGTCTCCTTGCGCTCACACTTAGTCTCTGCTTGGAGCAAATCTTCGCTTGCAAAACTCTCTGCTCACCTGGTGAAATTTTCCTGCCATAATTCAAGAGCACACATATTCAGTCAGAAAACAGGATTTCATGTCTTTTGTTCTCAAAACTTTTAATACTTTTGCTTACATTTTCATTTGGAAAGCAGGACTTCATGTCTTACTTCTTAAAAGTTGTAACTCTTATACTCAAAAGAAGAGTTACAACTCTTATACTCCTCGCACTCACACTTAGTCTCTGCTCGGATTCTCAGCTTGCTTAAGAAACATGGAACTGCCTTTTGGCATAGTCTCCTAGCAACTTCTCAGCCAATAGAATAAAAGTGTTGTACTGGGTGTGTTTGTTTCCTTCTAGCAGGTGGACCTATGTGGCTACTATTGATTGTAGCAACCTGCGCTACCCACAGGATGTAGGGAGAAACAACGACGTCAGCTTTCTGCTCCATGTTACACTAAACATCCGGTGGGAGTGTGCTACTGATCGCCAACAGCTACTGATCTTAGACAGGATTTTGTTCACCAAAGGCAATATAGTCACAACATGATTTCTGTCATCTATCTTTACACTACTGCATCTGATGCTTTGCATTGCACTTGGTGATGTTTGGCTTGGATGCAGCTGCTCCACCATGGAAATCCATTCCATGAAGCTCTCTGCCCACTGCTTTTTGAGCTAATCTGAAGGCCACATGAAGTTTGGAGGTCTGTATGACTAACTGCAGAAAGTTGGTGACTATATTGGTTATACTTGGTGACTATACTCTTTGCACTATATGCTTCAGCATCTGCTGACCCCGCTCCGTCGGTTTACGTGACCTACCACTTGGTGGCTGAGTTGCTGTTGTTCCCAAACACTTCCACTTTCTTATAATACAGCTGACAGTTGACTATGGAATATTTAGGAGCGAGAAAATTTCACCACTGGATTTGTTGCACAGGTGTCACCCTATCACAGTTCCACACTGGAATTGACTGAGCTCTTGAGAGTGAACCATTCTGTTTGTGAAAACAGTTCTGCATGCCTAGGTGTTTCATTTTATACACCTGTGGCCATAGAAGTGACTGGAACACCTGACTCCCATAATTTGGATGGTTGAGTAAATACTTTTGACAATATAGTATATGTTCTTCAAGGATTGTGAGTTTGATCCCAGACCATGTCGGTTTTTGTTTGGTTTGTTTAGATTGTGCTTTACAATTATTTAAACAAACCAAACAAAAAACATGCTTTTTTTTTTCAAAAGGAGCATGTGAAGCACAATCTAAACAGATTTTCACTATATTTAGATTTCTGATAATGCCATAAAAACATCCTTCATCCTCTGGGTCCAACTACTGTAGATTTACACTAAATGAAACCCCCCAAATCATCTACTGTAGGTAAGATATTGACTTTTAACAGAACCTCACATTAAAAATACTGAACTGTCCCTTTAATACCCCACCCTTCTCCCCCCTGACTCTGTAAAGCTAAATTATCTTGCATGTCTTACAGAACCTTACATTAAAAATACTGAACTGTCCCTGGTATATATGACACTGATATATTTAAGGTTCCCTTTAATTGCACATGTGCAGCGGAATCCACCATACAAACTACTGAAGGTCTTTTCCTATATTTTTGGCTTTTATAGACAACAACCTTCCAGTTTGTCACTCTGAGGTAAACTGTTGCTTTTCCTCCAACACAGTGAAATGTTTTTCCTTTGCAGTTCACTCCTTCGCCAAGTTTTCCCTTACATCATTACCACTTTGTCCCTTCCTTCTTCTACGACATGTCCTTCAACTAATTATTTTCTAAGTACTTTACATTTTCATATCAGTTTATTTAACTTAAACACTTCTCCTGAATTTAAATTCAGTTATGTGTGTAATTCAACTGAACACATTCATGAGCCGCCACATTTTCTGAAGAGATGTAAGAGGCTCTGAAAATAAACTTCAGATTTCATATTTTAGGAATATACAGAAAAACTGACCAATATGTAAAAAGATTTAGTTGTTGAAAGTTTGACTCAAACCAAAATGAAAATAGCAAACTAAATTCTGCCTAAAAAAATCTAATTAATTATGTTTTGGTGATATATTTGAGTATTATTTGAGTGATATGAAGTAATTTTCTTCCAGTAGGTCAGTCAAAGTGACCAATTTAGCAGATGGGGTGCGTTCTTTGACACATTGCTCCTTTTGTACCTCATAAAGCAGGTATGAATGGCACAGAAGTGCAATAGTATGAAATGGCAAAGGGGTGAGCTGAGCAGCACCTAGATATGCAGACAGGGACAGAAAAGGTTTGGAATGTCTTCGTTTTCATATTTGGCATTTTGATGATTGCTTTTTGCTTTTTCCTGTTTGTGTGAACTCTCATGTCCTGTTTAGATCATTTGTGATGAAATACATATCCTGCTAGTATTGAAGATTGGTTCTTCCACAGCTTGAATATAAACTTCTATTTCAAATATGAAGAGGGACATTTGTACAGAAATATTACTATGTCTGTTTTTCTTTTTCTTTTTTTGTATGGCCACAGTCAGTTCAACGTGAAAATATAACCTATGCTTACAGGATTTGAGTATGCCACACTGCAAGCTCAGCTAATATTTTTTAATAAAATTATTTAGTTATCAAGGCACAACCCAAAACATTTTTGAAATATACTGAGCAGACTATCTTACAGAAAGTTTTTAATAATATATTTCCTAAATTTTTAAATCTTATTAGAATGTTTGATCTTTTATTCTGCTTTGCACTGTTTGTTTTTAAATCAATAAAACATTCCTGTCATTGAATGTCATTTTGGGTTTTCCATGTACATTTATAAAGCTCCCAGATAAACATGTCCTGGGGTGATTTTAGTATTTTTTGTTTTTCAATAAAATGTTTTGAAAAATAAAAATATGTTTTTCCTAGCTTCATTACATACAGTAGTTTAAGGAAACATCCAGAGCAACCAGAGGGCTGAAGTGTTCCCAGTAGAATGTTTCCATGTCTGTGTCCTTTGTGTTCCAACCAACATCATATTATAAAACTGTGCTATAGTTATACAAATGTTTGTTACAGTTTAGAAAATTATGTTGCAATAATAACGTTTGAAATCATTTACTTAAAATGTGTTTTAACACATCAGTTTATGGTGACGATCATATGTAAATACCCATTAAATTTTCTTGGCTAAAAATAAAATAATAACCTTTATCGTCATTACAGAAACCATGGAATGGAATTACATGCACTATAACGAAACTGGCGATGAGTGGTGTTAAGGATGGAAGGAAGCTCAGTGCTGATGATTCTCTCAAGTGATAAATGGCTCTGGTGGCATTTAATGCTCATATCGGTATTGTGTATGAACTGTTCTTCAGTCTGTTTGTCCTTGTTTTAATGCTTCAGTATCTGCAGCCAGATGGCAACAGTTGGAATAAATTGTGTCAAGGATGTGAGGAGGCTTTTAAAATGTTCCTGTTTTCCCTGAGACAATGGACTCTATGGAGTTCTTCAGGAGATGGCAGAGAGCAATAGTCTTCTGGGTAGATTTTATGATTCTCTGGAGAGTCTTCCTCTGTGCTACTGTGCAGCTGGAGAACCACACACAGACAATAGCAGATGATGCTTTCAAGAGAGCATCAATAGAAGGACACTGTGAGGGATTTACCCCTCCTCAAAAGGTGATGCGTTTGTGCTTCTATATTCCAATTTATTTATTAAGTGTATTTTGTTTGGAGGAAGCAACTGGCTTTGTTTGGTGTTTTTGCTTTAATCATTTTTCTTCTCTTTGAGGTCACCTGGTCAGGTGTTGCCATGGAAGCGCGCCCATGAGCAGTGCTGACAAGGACCTGGTGTTTTAAATCAACCTCAGAATCTGTTGTTTGAGAGGGAAGGGAGATGTTTTTGGATTTAATTTGGGGCCCAGATTGTTTTTGTTTTAGTTTTGAAGTTGTTAGTTGAAATGTAAATTTCTTTCTAGGAATATAGTGTAGTACAAATGTTTTTTTTTTACTTGTAAATGTTGACTCCACCCCTTAATTAGTCAAGGAAGAGCCAATGCTTTAAAAGGCAGGTGTGTTAGATCAGAGGAGATTCTCTCCCTCTTGTGTGTGAACATGTCATGCTGTAAACTGGAAGGAAATGCTTTTAGAAAAAAAAGATAAAAACAATTGAGAGCTCTACAACTTCTGAACTTTGTTTGACTTTTTTGATTGCAAACCTACAGACACCAGCAAGTTTTGAGAAATATTGTTTTTCCTGAGGACTCTCGGGAAAGAAAGTCTCTGCTGGGTCTTCTTTGCCAGTTCTGCTGTACTTCCATCACAGGCCAGATTATCCAAGAGATGAACTCCCAGGAAACAAGTTTGACACCCTCTCCACCCTGTCTCTGCAGATGTATTGTGATTGAATGTCTCTTTTACTTCTAAAATCCGGTATGATCTCCTTGGTCTTGACTGTTTTGGATCAAGTTATCTGTGCACCACACTGTGAATTGCTCCCCCTTGTTCCTGTAGGTAGATTCATTCCCCCTAAGATGAGACCCACTACACTTGTGTCGTCTGCAAATTTAAACAAGGATGCCACTTTAGTGGGCTTATACATAGTCATGTGTATGGTGGTGGCAGCATCATCCTCTGGATGTTTATGGAGCTAAATACAGAACAATCCTGGAGGAAAACCTGTTAGAAACTAGAGACTAAGATGAAGGTTCTCCTTCCAGGAGGACAATGGCCCTAAGCATACAGCCAAGAATAGAATGAGACATTGCACTATAGAATCAAAGCATATTCATACATTAGAATTCTCAAATTAAAATAATAAAAATATATTTTTTTTTCTCTTTCTTCCTTTAGCACCTGCTGTCTGTCAGGGTGAAGAGAAAGCAGATTGTGATGCAAAAATAGTTGGGATCTGTTTTTTCCACTGTTGTCAGTTCTTCTAGTTCTCCACCAGATGAAGTCAGGGAGCAAATCATCCATCTTCATTTAATGGAGCTTAAGAGGACTCTGCTACCGCCAGTCATTTGATGGAGTGTTAATCTTTAGTGAGCACCTCGTGTTACTAACCTTCTTTGCTCTCCTTTATCCTGAAACTTACCTTAAAGGTCACTCCTGATGAAACTGGATTCTGTTGCAGTTCATTCCCCAGCTGACTCAGTCACCTGCAAACCTCAAGACTAAACAAAGTCAAGACCTAAATGTAAGAGAATCTGTGGCGAGACTTAAAAACTAATGTTCACATTCTCCATCCACTTAGGCTGAGCTTGAACTATTGTGAAAAGAATAATAGGCAAAACAGATATTTATAATTCAGCTGTACATCTAAAGTGAACATATTGAGCAAAAGTTTATTGCAAAAAAATGTATTTGAGTTTAGCAGTCTTTTGGCATGAGGCATGAAGCTGTTGTGGGATCTGGTTGTTCTGCATTTGAAGCTGATTAATCTTTTCCCAGAGGGCAGCTGGGAGAACAAGCCAAACTGAGGGTGGAAGGATCCTTATGATTGGCTGAGCCTTCGCTTACAGCAACTATGAGCGATGTCAAGGATGGAAGGAAACTCAGACCTGATGATTCTCTCAGCTGTCCTCGCCTCTGTCTTTACATTGCCAGTCAGAGGTGATAAGGTGATATATGCCCCAAACCGGACTGAGATATCGCTGTCTATTGTCCCTCTGGAGAAAGTGATGAGGATGGGAAAGAGGAGATTTGATCTTCTCATCCGATATGAAAAGTGCAGACATTGGAGAGCTCTCTTCACAGGCCAGAGGTTTGGAGTGACCAGGTGGAAGTGTCAGTGATCTGTATCCTCAGGAATTTAATGCTGCTGTCCTATGCCACTGCAGCACCATTGATGAGGAGGGGGAACCTCATGCTTTCCACTTGTCCCCTAATCAATGGACTGTATTGTGTGATGCCAGCATCTTCATGCTAACCAGTGTGGCACGGTACATGCTATAAGCATGTATGCTGAAGTATTCCTGTTTCTCTGCAGACCAGGTTCACACTTGCAGCTCCTTCATCTTATAGAGCCACGGACTTTCCTGGAGAAAGATTACAAAGCTGTTCCATTCATTCTGGATAAGAAATTTGCAGTATAATTATGATAAAATGTTCCTCATCTTTCCCCCCAAAGATGTTCAGATTCATTGAGAAAATAGGCCAGGTGTAAACTTGAATGTAAACCATCCCATGCAAAGTTTGTTTTATACTAATATTGAAAGAAGTTCAAAGTTATCACAAAGTGTACTCACTTTGTTACTATGTCATGTTTATTAAATTGTACTTTGAGGACATTTGCAGTTACTTTCCAAGTTTTAGGGTCACAAAGTGAAATGTATGTGTGCTGTTCTGTTACAATTTTTGGACCATCATGCATGGCTGAACGGTGCTGAAGCAATTCTTAGGTAAATATGATGTTGAAAATGATGAGTCAGATGCTTTACGATAATGTCGATGAGGCTCTAGGTCTTCTGGATGACTACCCTTCTTGGATATTAGTGATTCTGCAGGTGTCACGTAGCTGCCTCACTCTTCTTGAAGGATGATCTAATGATACTTTCCCGCTTTGCAGTGGTTTGGTGGACTAATTCCCCTCTTGTCATTTATTACTTTCAATCTAACAAACAAAAAAGCAATGCGACTTGGATGTAACATGTAATGCTTTATAGAAATGTAGTGAAGTAGAAAGTACAGATACTTACTGTAAAATGTAGTGGAGAAAAAGTTGAAAATATCCACGATTGAATCTACTTAAGTAAAGTACAAATACATGAAAAATGTACATAAGTACAATAACATCCCACCACTGATCAAAGTAGGAAGCAAAATGTTTGTGCCTGGTGAATCTGCAGTTGGTCAGGATCTGGTCACCATAGTGATGCGTCCTTCACTATGGACTCAGAGCCTAGGAGTATCTGACAAGATTGATATCTCTGATTTGGGCACCACAACCTTCAAAATGAAACACAACCCAAGCTGTTGCAAATAACACAGACATTTGCTGCAGTGTGTTTCTGTGTCTCTCTACATGTTCCATCTGTAGGCTTGGCTTCTCAATGGAAACCTCAAAACAATCTAAAATCTATGTAACTTAGGGAATTTGTTCCTAATATCTGTTGAGATTGTCTTGAAGATGTTCTCTCTCTGCAGCTTGGCAGAAATTCTGGCTTCTTCATGCTAGTCAGATTAGTGACTGTCAAACTTGTGCTTTGTTTCAAATGAAGAGTGAAACAATACAAATCTGTTGGATGGGATGTTTGATTTACAGACTGGACATCTGTAAATCAAACATATACACCTGTGTAATATTTGGATTTCATCTCATCTCCATTTCTCATGGTGTTACTGGGATGTGTAGGGTCCACTTGTCTGTGTAGTCTTCATCCCCACCAAGTTTTGTTTTTCATGGAGATTAAGTCAGTTTCTTCCTCCAGAATCTTATTCCAGTTTCCAGGTTTCAGGGGATAAATTGGTAACAAGGGAAACTTATACACTGTCTGTTTCATCTTTATCTTCCTCTCACTAACACTGCTTTTATGAAGTTGTTTAAACTAAACTAAACAAAAAACTTGTTACACCCCTAGTAAAATTAAGGGGTGTAACAAGATTAAAGGAAGGTTTTTGCTTTTTCTTGACTCTGGATTTAACCATCTCTGACATGCAATATCTTGTATACTCAGAATTCAGTTCAGCCTTATCTGTATATTAGGTTCAAACACAAGTGAAACCCAGAGAGCTGAAAAAGCAAATCCTTGAATTTAGTCATAAGGTGGAGTGGTAAACTCTAAAAGGACAGCATGATGCAATGCAAAAACAAAAAACAAAAACACAAAAATTACTAAATGCTTATCAAATAATGTTCATCAAATCAATCTAAAACACATTAAAAACACTGCCTACCTGCATTGCATAAATCAC